CCCTGGAGGGATGGCTATGCTGCAATTCCTTCTCCTGCATTCTTCTCTTGGGATTTTGGGCACATAAACATATGCGTTTGGTGTGAGTTTCAGGCAGCCAGATCTAGGACTTGAAGCACAGTCAGCTATGTGGGAATTTGGTGTCTTTAACCACCATGCCATTTGATGGTCCCAGTTCTAACAATATTTTTTTGTAGAATCTTTAGAATTTTTTTACATATAAGATCATGTTGTTTTCAAACAGAATCAATTTTCTTACTTTCTAGTCTGAATGCCTTTTATTTCATTTTCTTGCCTAATTGCTTTGGCTAAAATTTCTAGTACTATGTTGAATAGAAGTGGTGAAGGTGAAATTCTTGTCTTGTTCCAGATCTTAGAGGAAAACTTTCAACTTTTTCTCATTTAGTATGATATTAGCTTGATATTTGATGTTGAGTTTGTTATATGGCCTTTATTGTATTGAGGAACATTTCTTTTTTTGGGGGGGAGAGGTTTTTTGTATAGGGCATGTGTGCTCACCAGAAAGAAAGAGAGACAGAAAGTGAGAAATCACCCTCCATGGGGGATAGCCATGCCACAGTCCCTTCTCCTCCACTCTCCTCTCGGGATCTTGGGCATGCATGCACACATGTCCGGCGTGAGTTGAAGCCACTGGGTCCAGGACTTGAACCACGGTCAACTGCATGGGAGTCCAGCAACATAGCCATTATGCCAACTGCTGGTACTGAGGAACATTTCTTATATACCTAATTTGTTGAGCATTTTTACTATGAAGGGATATTGAATTTTGCCAAAAACTTTTCCTGCAACTATTGAAATCATCACTTTTTTGTCCTTCATTCTTTTAATATGATATATCACATTTACTGATTTTTGTATATTGAACCATACTTGCATTCTTGGATGAATCCCACTTGATCATGATGAATGATCTTTTTTTTTTTTTAGTTTATTTATTTCACAAGAGAAAGAGACATGTTCCTCCTACAGGGTCCTCACCTGCTAGTCCCTCCCAATTATAGTCAGCCAGTCTCATTGGCAAATTTGCTCACAGTCAGTATGTACAGGGCAATTTTGGGGTGCAAACTCAGTACATTCTCATGGGGATTCAGCACCATGGAGCATTGTGTTACTGCTGCACCACTGTGACAACACCTGAATGATCTTTTTTTTTAAAGAATTATTTTATTTAACTTTATTTATTTTAATCTGATCAGAAAGGGACAGAGAGAGAGAGAACGAGAGAGGCAAAGTGAGAAAGAAGGCTGCTAGATCTGGGACTTGAACCACTGTTGGCCATATGGGAGTCCAGGGTCCTTAACCACCATGTCACCTGCCAGCCCCACATGAATGATCTTTTAAATGTGTTGTTGAATTTGGTTTGCTCATATATTGTTGGGAATTTTTTTTGAGAGAGTTTTTTTGCTATAGGGTGCATTTGCTCACTGGAGAGAGAGACAGAAAGGCAGAAAGCAAGAAATCACCCACAGAGGGGATGGCCACACTGCAATCCCTTCTCCATTCTCCTCTCAGGATTTTGGGCATGCACGCACATGCTCCTGGTGTGAGTTTTAGGCAGCCAGATTTAGGACTCTAACTACAGTTGACTACGTGGGAGTTCAGCAATATAACCACTACATCATCTGGTGGTCCCATGTTGTTTGGGGATTTAAAGTATTTAAAATGTTTTTACCACAAAGAAATGATAATTATGTGAGATGATGGATATGTTAATTAGCCTGATGTTTTCATTCCACAATGTGCATACGTATCAAAACACCACTTTGGAGGCCAGCAGGTGGCATGATGGTTAAAGATGCTGAATTCCCACATGGCTGACCATGGTTCGAGTCCTGGACCTGGTGGTTTGCTTTCTCATGTTCCCTTTCTCTCTTTCTGGTCAAATTTTAAAAAATAATAATAACAAATGGAATTAAATAAATAAATAATCCTTTTAAAAAACACTTTGTACCCTATAAATATATGTAATTATAATTTATCAATTAAAAATAAACCTAAAGAGACCAGCAGTTAGCGTAATGGCTATGTCGCTGGACTCCCACGTAGTCGACTGCGGTTCGTGTCCCGGACCCAGTGGCTTAAACTCACACTGGGCGCATGTGCGTGTGTGCCTAAGATCCCGAGAGGAGAATGGAGGAGAAGGGATTGTGGCGTGGCCATCCCCCCTGGAGGTGATTTCTCGCTTTCTGTCTCTCTGTCTCTCTCTGTCTGTCTGAAAAACTCTCAAAAAAAAAAAAAAACCTAAAATAAAATTCATATAGAAATGTCAAGAATCTAGAACAGCAAAATCACTTTTTTTTTTTGAGAGTTTTTCAGACAGACAGAGAGAGACAGAGAGACAGAAAGCGAGAAATGACCTCCAGGGGGGATGGCCACGCCACAATCCCTTCTCCATTCTCCTCTCGGGATCTTAGGCACACACGCACATGCGCCCAGTGTGAGTTTAAGCCACTAGGTCTGGGACTCAAACCGCCGTCACCTACATGGGAGTCCAGCGACATAGCCATTACGCTAACTGCTGGTCCTGCAAAATCACTTTTGAAAGAAAAACAAAATTTAGGGACCAGCAGATGCCGTAATGGTTATGTTACCAGACTCCCATGTAGGTGACGGCGGTTTGAGTCCCAGACCCTGTGACTTTAAACTAATGCTGGGCGCATGTGCGTGTATGCCCGAGATCTCAAGAAGGAGAAGGGATTGTGGTGTCGCCATCCCCCTTGATAGGTGATTTCTCACTTTCTGTCTCTCCCTCTCTAGGGAGAACACACGCCCTATAGCAAAAACCTCTCTCTCTTTTTTAAAACAATTATTTATTGAATTTTATTTATTCATTCATTCATTTTTAATTTGACCAGAGAGATACACACAGACAGAGAGAGAGAGAGAAGATGAGAAAGCAAGCCGCCAGGTCCAGGACTTGAACCGTGGTCAGCCATGTGGGAGCATGTAGCACCTTAACCACCATGCCACCCACTGGTCCTTCAAAAACCTCTCTTAAAAACAAAACAAAACAAAACAAAACAAAAGAAAGAAAGAAAGAGAACAAAATTTGAGGGCTAGCAATACATGTACTTTGACAGAGTGTTGTAATGATTTTCTTTTAAATGTGTATTTCATTTTGTAAAGTATATAACCTTTGGAAATTTCACTCAGAAATAAATCATGAAACACTAAAGAACTGGGCAAAGACATATTCAAAATATTTACTATAGGGGCCAGATGGTAGTGCAGCAATAAGATGTAACACTGTGTGAGGCTACCCACATGGGAAGGTTGCTGGTTCATATCCCGAGACCTCCCTCAGTATACAGAGCATGTACTTGCCTATGACCCAGGCTTGCTGAAGCAAGGGGTGGCTTGTGGTGTCAAAACTGTTGGAGGTTCTCTCTCTCTTTTTCACTTCCTCTCTCTCTCTCTCATCTGTGTGTGTGTGTATGTGTGTGCGTGTGTCTGCACTGTCACTCATGAAATAAAATTTTTAAAAATTGTTCCTTGCAAGGGCCAGTAGGTGGTGTGATGGCTAATCTGCTGGACTCCCACATGGCTGATCATGGTTAGAGTCCTGGATCTGGCAGCTAGCTTTCTCACTTTCCCTCTCTTTCTCTGTCTCTCTTTGGTGAACACATGTGCCCTATAGCAAATTAAATAATAATAATAGGGTCAGCAGGTTACATAGCAGTTACAGCGCTGGACTTCCACATAGCCAACTGCGGTTCAAGGCCTGGACCCAGCAGGTTGAAAATCATGCTGGGCGCATGTGTGTGTATGCCCAAAATCCCAGGAGGAGAATGGAGGAAAAGGGATTGCAGCATGGCCATCTGCCATGGGAGTGGGGGTGATTTCTCGCTTTCCCTATCACTGTCTCTCTATGGCGAGCACATGCACCCTGTGGCAAAAACCTTCAAAAAATAAATAATAGAAAGTAAGTAATTCATTTAAAAAAATGTTCACTGCAGAAATGTTCATGGAAATAACCCACAGCCAGCTCATGAGTGGAGGATTTGTTGAATTATGCTGATTGGTAAAGTATACCTGTTTGTGTAAATAAAGTTTTATTGCATTATACCCATGACTATTTACTATCGTGCTCCAAAGGCAGAGTGGAGTAGCTGTGACAGAGACTTAGACAGCCTGTGAGCCTCAGATATTTACTGTCTGACCCTTTGAGGGAAACTGACCAACTCCTGGTCTAGATTATACTCACGCATCTATGTATGTATTACTAGATTATATATATTAGAGTATATATGTATGTGTGTGTACACACACACACACACACACACACACACACACACACATCTATCTATCATCTATCTATCTATCTATCCCCCAGAAGGGGCATGCACTTGCTAGAGAGAGACAGAGAAAGGGAGAGGAAGAAAACACCCCACAATGGGGCATGGCCATGCTGCAATCCCTTCTCCATTTCTCCATCCTGTTTGGATTTTGAGCACCCACATACGTACGTGCCCGGTGTTTTTCAAACCATGGGAGCTGGTGTTCGAACTGTGCTATTGGTCTTGAGGAAGCCAGCTCCTTTAACCACTAAGCCATGGAGCTAGCTCAGATAGTGTATGTATTAATATGAGAAAATGTTCGGAAAATATCATTAGGTGAAAACCCACAAGGTAAAAAGTACCACACGTAACCCAATGCCTCATTCGCCCCATGTCACCTCCCCCTTATGCTGAGGCTGGTGGCCTTTTCCCCTCAGCACTGAGGGCCCTAGTGGAGTGGCAAAGCAGAGGTTCTGGACAGCTGTATGCAGTTCCAGTGTGGCCTGCTTGTCCACACTGTCCTCACCAGTTTGCTGTGTGGGCTCAAGCCACACCCTTCTTTGGACATCTGGGTTTCCACTTGTGCCTGGAGGACTTTGTCCTGGCAGAGCCCTCAGGATTTTAGGCACTTGTCTTCCTCAGGTGTGAAATCAGCTTTGCTACCCCTGCCCACCCCAGGAGCGCATGGCGGGGGTCCCCTACCTGCCCGCTGTAAAGCAGGTCCCGTTAGCAGCACCGATGGTTGAAAACGCCACAAAAAGTGGAACCACCCAGGAAGCTGGATAAAGCACGCGGTCACCAAACGTCTGGTGGGAGAAGCAAGATAAACCCTAGGGGCGTCTTTCAGAGCACCCAGGAGCTATTGGTCTAAAAAAGCTATTCTGTCTCCCCAAAGACCCAGGGACCCGCCTCATCCCATTGGACACAGATCTATGACCCCTACTGGAGAGGAGAGAGTGAAAACTACTCATGAAAAAAAAATTATGAGGTCAGCAAGTGTCGTGGTGGTTAAGGTGCTGGACTCTCATATAGCAGACCTCAGTTCAAGTCCCGGACCCAGAGGCTTAAAACTCATGCTGGGCACAAAAGTGCATGTGTGGGACCAGCGGTTAGCGTAATGGCTATGTTGCTGGATTCCCACGTAGTCGACTGCGGTTCGTGTCCCGGACCCAGTGGCTTAAAACTCACGCCGGGCGCGTGTGCGTGCGTGCCCAAGATCCCGAGAGGAGAATGGAGGAGAAGGGATTGCGGCGTGACCATCCCCCCTGGGGGGTGATTTCTCGCTTTCTGTCTCTATGTCTGTCTGTCTGGCGAGCGCACGCGCCCTACAGTGAAAATCTCTCAAAAAAAAAAAAATGCACATGCCCAAAATCTGAAGAGGAGAATGGAAGAAAAGGGATTGCAGTGTGATCATCCACCCAGGCTGTGATTTCTTACTGTCTCTGTCTCTGTCTCTCCAGTGAGCACACACACCCTACAGCAAAAACAACAACAACAAAACCCTTCTGCCTTTTTTCTCTAGACTATCTCAGGATCTCTTGTCCACCACCACTCCCCCTTGAAATTCTTCAGCATTTCACCCTAGCCTCTTACACCCTTGACCTCTCCACCCAGCAGGACCTCATTCTCCCTCTCATCTTGGTGCCCAGTCTCGTGGTCAGTGACCTCCTTTGTGGTTGGTTGGGGACCTCACCATTAGCCAAAACCGTGTCTCCTCCATATCCGAATCCCCATCACCTCACTGTTCCCAGCTCACTTCCTGGTATAGCCCAGACCTACGAGGCGCCAGGGCCTGTTCCTAGCCCACTTTTCCCATAGTCCCTCATGCCATTAATGACCTCTTGCCCTTGCCTCCTCCTCTCTCAGCTCAAAGTCCACAATCCATTATCATCATTACCTCCTTCAACTCCCCTGCGCTTTCTCTCTCTCCGTCAGACTTGCCTGTCGAGACCCGAGTCCGGGTTCAATCCAGCCCAGCCTCCCACACATGATGTCTGTACCCAGGTAGCAGATGGACTGGGGGAACAGAGCCCACCACCTGCTGAGGGTCTCAGATCCAGGCCTCTCAGCTCAGGGGGTCTTTGTTGGCCCATACTCCATCTCCTAGAGGATGATTTTTTCCTCTTCCCCTGGGAGGGGACCACCACTCACCTGAGCGCCCCCACACCCACCACAGCCCTGCAGCAGACGCCTGGCACTCACCACCGCCACAGCCTGGGACTGCAGGAGCTCAGTTGCAGTCATCACAGTGAAATAGGAGACGTTCATGAGGATGTAGCACACTGTCACCAGAGGGATCCCGATGATAATGGCCAGGGGCAGGTTTCTGAGAGGGACAGTGACACAGAAGCCCAAGGTCAGACCCGGGCGTCCATGGGAGTCTCATGAGATGGTTGTTTCTGTCCAGTCCTTCCTTCTCGCCCGCCTTTGCACCTGCTCCCCATTGTGGGCTGGGGGACAGAGGCCCCACCTGGCCCACCCAGGTGGGGATCAGGGGGTCTGTGGGTTTGTGCAGAGTCCCAGCGGGGACATGAGTCATCTTTTGATGACCTTCTCTCTCCCTTAGACCCTAGGGCAATCAAATAGAATTGTTTATGAAGCAAAATAAGCCAGAAATAAAGGAGGCTAGAGCCCTTCCTTCCCTTCAGCAACCGTGCAACTGCTCCCAACACCATCAAACTGAGAGTGTATGATGAGCTTGGAAGAAGCCAGCCTCTGTCTGGAGGAAACGGGAATAATGGGAAGAAGCAGCTCCACTGCATGCTGAGAGAGAACTGTGAAGGGTCTTCAGAAAGTTCATAGAAAATATTATGAAGTTATGGGATTAGCAGATGGCATAATGGTTACATCACTGGACTCCCAGATAGCCGACTGCAGTTCAAGTCCCAGACCTGGCAGCTTAAAATTCGCACCAGGCATATGTACATGCATGCCCAAAATCCCAAGAGGAGAAGGAATTGTGACATGACCATCCCCCTTGGGGGCTGATTTCTTGCTTCCTCACTCCTTGTCTCTTTCTGTCTCTCTGGTGAGCACATGCACCCTATAGCAAAAATCTCTCAAAAAAATTATGCCTAGGGAATTTTTTTACACCAAAATAAACATGTACTTTTTTAATATTTATTTTATTTATTCATTCATTTTTTTTTTAAGTTTGATCAGAGAGAGACAGAGGGTGAGAGTGAGAGAGGAAGTGAGAAAGCAAGCCACCAGATTCAGGACTCGAACCCTGGTCGACCATGTGGGAGTGTCCAGCACCTTAACCACCACACCACCTGCTGGTCACCAATAAACATGTACTTTAATTTTATTTTCCCACAAGCTTTTTTGACTTTTTTTTTTTTAGAAATTTTTGTTATAGGGTGTGTGTGCTCGCCAGAGAGACAGAAAGCCAGAAATCACTCCTCTGGGGAAATGGCCAACAGCAATCCCTTCTCCTCCGTTCTCTTGGGATTTTGGGCATGCATGCACATGTACTCAGTGTTAAGTTTTAAGCTGCCAGGTCTGGGGCTACGAACCACAATTGACCACGGGGGAGTCCAGCAACCTAACCAGTGCATCATCTGCTAGTCCCTTCCCACAAGCTTTCTGAAGTCCTTTCACATGCTTGTCTATCCACTCTCACTGGTCCTGACTGAGCTCTTACCTGAAAGGGTTTTTGAGTTCTTCTGTAATGTAATTGAGTTGATTCCTGGAGAAGAGAAGTGACATGAGTGACATCATCTTAACTTTGAGAAGATTATGAAACACACAATAATAAATGTTGGCCTTGGGACCAGCAGTTAGCGTAATGGCTATGTCACTGGACTCCCATGTAGTCGACCGCGGTTTGAGTCCTGGACCCAGTGGCTTAAACTCACTCTGGGCACATGTGCGTGCGTGCCCAAGATCCCGAGAGGAGAATGGAGGAGAAGGGATTGCGGTGTGGCCATCCCCCCTGGGGGGTGATTTCTTGCTTTCTGTCTGTCTGTCTCTGTCTGTCTGGCAAGCGCACGTGCCCTATAGCAAAAACCTCTCAAAATAAATAAATAAATAAATAAATAAATAAATAAATAAAAATAAATAAATGTTGGCCTTACTTAAGATTCTCCACCAAAGGGAAAATACTTTCATAGGAATTCCAAGGTAATTTCTTTCTTGGAAGGCCCTGGTGATGGTGGGGCCCTATCAAGACCCACACATTGGTCAAGTCTTTGCCCTCTATGGGAACCACACAAATTTTTAATAATTAGGAGTAGAGAGTTCCCAAGGCACTTGGAAAAAATGGAAGATTCTTTGTCTTAAAAGGGAATGAATCCTAAAAACAGAGGGGAAGGCCAGAGTCATAGATGGTCATGCTCCTTCCTTAAGGGGCATAAACAGAAGCTCACTGACTAAACTTAATATCGCCAAGGCATAAATAAAAGTGCTGGGCCAGCCAGTGGCACAGTGGCTAAGGCAGCTGGATCCCACATGGCTGACTATGCAGTTCGAGTCCTGGACCTGGTGGCTTGAGAAATATGCCAGAAGCATGTGTATGTGTGCCCAAAATCCCAAGAGGAGGATGGAGGACAAGGGACTGCAGTGTGGTCATATCCCTTGGGGGTGTACTTTTTCACTTTCTCTCTCCCTCCCCCTCTCTCTCTCTCCCAGAAGCACATGTACCTAGTAGCAACATTTTTTTTTAAGCGAGAAATCATCCCCCAGGAGGGATGGAAATGCTGCAATTCCTTCTCCTATAAAGATTTTGGGCACAGTCACACACAGCGTGAGTTTCAAACCGCCAGGCCCAGGATTTGAACAGTACTCAGCCATGTGGGAGTCCATAACCTTAACCACTACGCCACCTGCTGGCCCCCAATAGCAACATTTTTGAAAATGCTGTTGAATACTCTTAGCCTTGCCAAATGCTTGGGCAGCTGCTACCTCCAACTTGGCTGAGCCCGTGTTGCTTGCTGAGTCTGTACAGGGCTTTGCTGCTGCCTGCAGGGACTCTACTGGGGGTCACGTCCAGGACTAGGGAAAGGGCAGAAAGTGCCTTGCTGTCTGTGGAGCCCCAGGGGGCAGGAAAGGTGAGGAGCTGGGCACCTCACAAAGGGAAATGTGAAGGTGAAATTCATGGCCACAGCACACTTGGGAAGGGCGAGTCATTGCTTCCCACAACTAGAAAACCCACGAGCAGACTTGGGACACCGTGGGAGTGCCTTACCAGCCGTCATACGCCCAGAGTCCGTTGTAAAATGCCAGACTGATGGCTCCCACGGATAATTTTGCGCCCTCAAAAGAATTTTCAAAATTCCTCGTGTTTCCTGTAATTAAGCCAGACAGGGAGTAGCGGGCATCAGCTGAGCAGCTTTCCGCTTTGTGCTCATCTCCGGGCGAAAGAAGGGTCTGCCTCGTGACCTCAGGTTATCGGGTTCTGAGAGGTCGAGAAGCTAAAGGTCCTTTGTGCCCGGCTGCTACGTGCTTCCTTACGGATGCTGTGGGGGCGAGTGCCGTGTGGGGCTCCCCTCCCCTCCCGCGGCAGGTCACCTTGGGCCAGCAGGACGAGTCCGCTGATGATGATGACAGCCACAATCACCAGCTTGGCTGCCGTGAAGAAGTTCTGCACGTAGCTGCCCAGGCGCACGCTCAGCGCGTTCACGGTGGTGATGAGCACTGCAAAGTCATGGGGACAGCCTGCGTTTGGGATTTTCCCCGGGACCTGGAAGAGTCTCCTTTCTATCCCCACCTCCCACCTCCCTTCTCACGATCACACTCACCTCCCTGAACGCTGAGAGGGCAGGGCTAAACAAGAGTTAACCTTTAAATACAGACAATTTCATACGTACTTCAAAAAAGATAAAACAGGGACCAGCAGTTAGCATAATGGCTATGTCGCTGGACTCCCATATAGTTGACCACGGTTCAAGTCCCGGACCTGGTAGCTTAAACTCATGCCAGGAGCGTGAGCGTGTGTGTCCAAGATCCCAAGAGGAGAATGGAGGAGAAGGGATTGTGGTGTGGCCATCCTCTCTAGGAAATCACCTTTCTTGGGGGGAGGGCGATTTCTCGCTTTCTGTCTCTCTTTCTCTCTCTGTCTTTCTGGCCCGTATAGCAAAAAACCCCCCCCCCCCCCCCCCCCAAAAAAAAAGATAAAACAGAACTGGTAGAACTATTAACAAGTATGAACAAGAAAACTAACATGTGTATGTCCTTAATTTGATTAATATACATCATATGCATGCTTTTTTGGGGGGAGAGATTTTTTTCTTTTCTTTTTTTATTTTGCTATAGGGCACATGTGTTTGTTGGAGAGACAGAGAGAAACAAAGAGACAGAAAGCAACTAATCATCCCTCAGGGGAATAGCCATGCCACAGTCCTTTCTCCCCCATCGTTCTCTAGAGACTTTGGGCATGATGCACCTGGAGTTAAGTTTCAAGCTGCCGGGTCTGGGACTCCAACCACCATCAACCACATGGGAATCCAACACCGTAACCACTATGCTACCTGCCTGGCCCCTATTCTTTATATTTTTTCAGATGAGGGCCCCCAGTACCTCCAATGAGAGGTGTCCTTAGAAAAAAAGGAAGGAGGGAACACACTGAGGAGAAGGGACATGACAATCCGGGCCGAGACGGGAGTGAAGCATCTATGAGCCAAGGATCACCAAGGGTAGCCCACAGTCACCAGAAGTCGGGAGAGAGGCAGGGAGCAGTTTACTCCATCTCAGCCTCTAGAAAGACCAACTGCGTTGACATCTTGGTCTCAGACTTCTGGCATCCAGAACTGTGAGTGAATAAATTTGTGGTTTTTTTTTTTTCTTTTTTCTTTTTGGAGAGGTTTTTGCTATAGGGCGTGTGTGCTCGCCAGAAAGACAAAGAGAGACAGAGAGACAGAAAGAAATCACCCCCCCCCCGGGGGGGGATGGCCAGGCCACAATCCCTTCTCCTCCATTCTCCTCTCGGGATCTTGGGCATGCACGCACATACGCCCAGTGTGAGTTTAAGCCACCAGTGCCGGGACTTGAACCGTGGTCTACTGCATGGGAGTCCAATGACACAGCCATTATGCTAACTGCTGGTCCCTGTTTTTTTTATTTTTAAAGAGATTTTTGCTACAGGTCATGTGCACTCACCAGAGAGACAGAGAGAGACTCACCAGACAGAGAGACAGAAGCAAGAAATCACCCTCAGAGGGATGGCCACATCACAATCCCTTCTCCTCCATTTTCCTCCCAGGATTTTGGGCATGTACGCACATGCGCCAGGCCTGAGTTTTAAGCTGTTGAGTCCAGGCCTGGAACCGCAGTCACCCATGTGGGAGTCCAGTGTCAACAATTCTGCCACCTGCTGGCCCCAATTTGTGCTTTTTCAAGCACAACAACAACAAAAACAAAAACAAACAAAACAAAAAAACCTGACAATGACCTTTGGAGTCCAGCCAGGACTGCCTCCAAGGGCAGTGGAGAATTAGCCAGCCAGGCCCTAAGGTGAGGTGCTGCCCTGAGGTCAGCCTGGACAAGCCCTTCCTGCAGGCCCTGGCAGGCCTGAGGCATCGCAGCAGATGCCGCTGCACAACCTCCAGGTCCACCCGACCTTCCTCTGGACACAGTGGAGACGAGACTTGTCTCCCTGACATCATCAGTGCCAGCCTTTTCTGGCCCCCGCCCAGGGCTACTGGTGCAGGTACTCACGGATCGCAGCGGCAGCCAGGCATTTAACGACAACAGCAGGAGGCTTGCAGCCTGCGTAGAAGGGCGCCGACACGTACTCAGAAAAGCTGAGGCAGATGATGGCAAAGGACGTGGGCTTTATGACGATCAGGCTGGTCCAGGAGAAGAGGTAGGCGGGAATGGGCCCGAAGGCCTCCATCAGGTACGGGTACTCGCCCCCTGACTTGGTGATCATTGTCCCAAGCTCTGCAAAGCACAGAGCACCTGGAACAGAGCGGAAGCATCCCCAGGTCCCTTGTGAGCCACGGTCCCAGGCCAAGGGAGCCTTCATCTCCTCTAGGGGCTGTGCTCACAGGGGCCCACCATGGTCCTCTCCCTGGGCAGCCCGGAGTTCTGGCCACTGGGTGTTCAGTCGCAGCCAGATAGACAGTTCTGTGCCACCCGTGCAGAGAGGGGCCCGCAGCAGCAAGGACAGGGCCCAGGCAGTGCTCATGTAGTGTGTCCCCACACCGCACAGGGAGGGCCCACCCGGGGCGGCAGCCTTGTTACCCAGCGTTGCCAGAATGCCACAGGCTGCCCAGATGATGAGACAGGGTCCCACGGCTTCCGTGTTGCTGAGCACAGACTTGGGGGAGATGAAGATGCCGGAGCCAATGATGGTGCCCACGATGATGCAGATGCCACTGAGCAGGCCCACCTCGGAGGCAGAGGGAGGGAGGGGAGCGTGAATGCTGCCACCTGGGCCTGCCTCGGGGCCAGATGCCCCCTTCTACCCATCCCTGTCCCATGTCCCAGGCACGTCCCTCTGTCCCTCTGTGCTGTTGTGTTTTTTTGAAAGAGATTTTTGCTACAGGTCACATGCACTCACCAGAGAGACAGACAGAGACACACAGAGACAGAAAGCAAGAAATCACCCTCAGAGGGATAACCACATCACAATCCCTTCTCCTCCATTCTCCTCCCAGGATTTTGGCCATGGACAGTCTTGGCCAGGACACCGGCCCAAGACTGTGTGTATTAAGTTGAGGAAATCCTCACAATAGCCCCATGATCTGGGTATACCACGTCACTCCCTTTGTTTTTGTTTTTGTTTTGTTTTTGCTATAGGGTGTGTGTACTCACCAGAGAGACAGAGACAGAAAGTGAGAAATCACCCTCCAGGGGGGATGGCCATGACAGAATCCCTTCTCCTCTATTCTCCTCTTGGGATTTTGGGCACACACACATTACCGGCATGAGGTTTAAGCCACAGGGTCTGGGACTCAAACTGTGCTCGACTACTTGAGGTCCAGTGACGGAATCATTACACCATCTGCTGGTACCACCACGACACCCTCATTTTACAGAGAAGAAAGCTGAGACACAGAAAGGTTAAGCTATGCCCGGGTGGGAGAATGGCCATGTCACAATCCCTTCTCCTGTAGTCTCCTCTCAGAACTTTGGGCATGCATGCATACCACGCCCAGTGTGAGTTTTAAGCTGTCAGATCTGAGACTTGAACTGTGGTTGAGTACATAGGAGTTCAGCGACGTAATCATTATGCTATCTGCAGTTTCTCCCCCTTTCTTTTTCCTTTTATAAAAAGGTTTTTTCTTCCTTGATTGGCATGTAATTTGCACACAGTGAAATGTCCAGGTCTTTCTGGGCTGGGTTTTGTTCTTGGAAAGCTCACTCCCTAAAAAAAGGCATGGAAGAAAGTTCACAATCCCTGCGTGTGCTGGTTCTGTTCCAGGGTGGGCACTGGGGTGGGGGGAGGTGTCTCTGTTCCTCTCCCCAGGAGGCTCCTCCGGCCAGAACTCCAAGTCCTGATTTCATGCTGCTTTGGTGGAGATCAACTTCCAGCTCAGCCCAGGACTCTTCTGGTGATCTGTTTGATGGGCCTCCATTCTGAGGGCAGTGAGGGGTGTGGCTAGGGGCATGGAACCCCAGCCAGGTGTAACCCTCACTGCTATAGAACCCGGGCATAGCTTAACCTTTCTGTGTCTCAGCTTTCTTCTCTGTAAAATGAGGGTGTCGTGGTGGTACCAGCAGATGGTGTAATGATTCCGTCACTGGACCTCAAGTAGTCGAGCACAGTTTGAGTCCCAGACCCTGTGGCTTAAACCTCATGCCGGTAATGTGTGATAGCTGGGATTTCTCACTTACTGTCTCTGTCTCTCCAGCAAGTGCACGTGCCCCTATAGCAAAAATCTCTCTCAAAAATGAACCAACAAACCTGACTCAAGCCCTTACTCATAACATCAGATCTCCAGTGAAGTGAGCAACGCACGTGTCTGTCTGGGCAGAGGCTGTGCTCAGGGTTAGATCCCAGAAGATGAGGAAGTCCCAGCTGCAGGCTGCCCCTAGCCCCAGGGGACTCAGCCCTGGGCAGTAGTGTCAGTTCCCATTCTACAATAGCTTCAAGGACCTGGCTGTGTCCCCAGGGCAGGAAGGGTGCTCTGAGCTTTGCTCTTCTGCTCAGTCCCCCTCAGGACTGCTGGTCAGAGGGCCCTTCCAGAATCCTTCCTCCCACTGCGTGGGTCTGCTTTGGAGGGGAGCTGCCTTCGCAATGAAGAGACCCGAGTTTAGGACCTGCTTGAGTTCTGCTGTGCTGTGTGTGGCTGAAGGGCCACCAGGGTTCTGAGAGGACGTCACTGGAATCAGGCTGAGGCTAGCAGAGAGGAAGGGTCTTGCTGCCCATCACCCGACTCCTGAAGACCCAAGACTCCAGCCCGACCCACAGTCAGGTCTGGCCATCCCCATTTCAAGCCCCAAAGCCTTGGTGCCCTCCCTCCTCCATCCCCTCTGCAGCCAGGCACAGAGACACTGCTCAGACCTCAGCCCCCTTGTCCTGCTCTCAGTGGCATCCCAAGTTCACTGTGGGGCCCTCTTGCCTCATCCTACAAGCCCAAAGCCCCCCTGTTCCCAATGCCCAGCCCCTGTTGCTCCCACCCAGTGGGTTGAACACTGTGTAGAAGGCACTGAATAGAAACTTCTTTCTGCCTCTGCCCTCCCGCCCGAAGCTTCCCTCCTTCCAGACCAGACCGTTCATCTGTGTCATTCCTATGTTGTGCCTGTGTCAGGCTCGCCTCCCTGCTAGACTTCCCTGGGGGCTACTGCTGGGGGCCTTACATCTCCAGCACTTCAGACATGCAAACCTAAGAGGGACAGATATTTGGCAGAGATGCTGTCAAGGAGACTCAACCATCAGAAGGTGCTTTCCGACCGTCCCTGAAAAAGCCACCAGTCGGAGCAAATACCCGCCCTTCCAGATGTTTGGCCAGTGCCTGGAAGTCCCGAAGAGTCTGCTGAGCTCACTGGCAAGAGGCAAAGTGGCCAGTCCGGAAAACGGTTCATTGGAGGGCGTGATTTACAAATCAAAAACCACCACACCCTCTGGCTCATCTCCCCAGATCAGATCGGCAGGGGCTGGCCCTCCCTGCTGCCCCTCCTCCAGCCCTGCCTGACCTGAAACAGAGCTCCTTACCTCTTTCTGGAGGTTTGTGGTCTTGTGTTCATTGCTCTGGACCGACTTCTCATCCTGTCCCCGTTTCCTCAGGCTCATCTCCCCGATCTTTCCCTCCTGCTAGTTCCAGGAGGCTGCGAGGAGGGCATGGGTGGAATCCGGATTCAGCAAAAGCCCCGGCAGATGAGTTGCTATCAGAGCCCAGCCTGGGCCCTTTGCTAATGCATCTGGCTTGTGGAAACTGACTCCGAAAGCAAATGACTGACTAACGTGTCAGGAGAGTAGCTGCCTGTCGGTCCTCAGCCACCGGGGAGAACAATAAATCGTTTGTGGTGTTCAAACCACAGAACATGGAGTTTCCCCAGTACTTGTTTTGCTTCCTCCCTGTCAGCCCCACCTGCCCTGAGCCTCCTGGCCCAAGTGCCTGTTATCTTCCTTTAATGACATGCTGAAAAGTCATTCTACCTCCGTGGCCCACCTTCATTAGAAAAATAAATAAATAAAAACATAGGAGGTTAGATTTAGCGGAACTGAATCTGAGAAAGGAAGGATTTTCTCATTCGTCCCCAAGAGGAAGGCCCGCACACGTTATAGGCTCCACAGCGTAGCGACTTGTCATTAAGCAACGCGATGCATGAAGAATTGCTAAGGAAAACCAGGCCAAGGCTGACCTAGGAGATGGCCGTGTTCTGTCCGCTAAGTAAATTCTCTGTGCGGGCCCCAGCTGGGCAGGCGGCGAGCCTCTCCCTCGCCCCACCAGCCTTACCTTCCTCCTTGACCTTGCTGAGCCGGGGAGCTGTGGCCAACTGATTGTCCACGCCTGCACAGCCAAGCCCTGGGAATGGCCATGTCTTGTACCCAGGAGTGGAGAAAGCCAGAAGGTACAGAGGTCACCAGAGGTAATTATTAAACACCTTTTTTTTTCCTAGCAAGGAAGCCTAGATATACTTCACAAAAAGGGGAGAATCATGCAAGCCTATTTCTCTCCGAAAACATTTTTATTTTGTTCATTTAAGTCTAGTTTCATTAAAAAACAAACTACTCCTCCAAATTCGCTCCATCTTGGAAGGAAAAAGCCCTCTGAAGAGTAGAAATCATGCTTTCTTGTAGCTTAGGGAATCAGAGAAGATAAACTTTGGAACCGACTCTTTTAGAACCTTTATAAATAGGCTGTATTTAAAACTCGAGTCGGGCGGCATGAACGGCAACTGCTGCCTGTGGAAGTCCACCGTCAGAGGTTTTGTCCCCAGCAAGGAATTTCCTCCCAGCCTTCTCTGGGCAGGAGGGTGGGCCAAGGCTCTCACTCCACCTGGCCAGTGACTGGGTTTCTGCACTGCCAGAAACCACGAGATGGCTTGGCAAAATGCGGACCCTGCCACGAGACCTCCTGGAGGTCTCTGCAGCTCCATTTTTTACCTGCAGTTCTGGCCAAATGCCCTCAGCTATGGCAATGAGGGTAGTAGCCCCATCCCATGTTCGCCACACTGAGAGTGGAAGAAGGGGCCTATGCTCATCTGCCTGATGAGGAAACTCAGGCCCAGAGAGGGGAAGAAGCACAGGTCTCTGGCCTCCTACCCAGGCCCTGTCTCCATACATCTGGCTCTCTCTCAGGTAGGGAACAGAGGCTCTCTTGCACTCCGAGGGGTCATGGGCAGATCCACCCCTCCCCACCAGGCAGATGCAGGCTCTAAACCCTGTCTCAGATAAGGCCTTCCTCTGGAAGGAAGCTCCTTATCAGAGGCAGGAGGACACCCAGGGGCCCCGTCTGGAGCATCAGACCTGGGCATTGTTGTGGTTATCTCCACCCAAACTTCCACAGCTTTGCATGGGCGTCAACTTAACAGCATCCCAGGTACTGAAATGAGGCCAAAGGTCATTGGACACAGTGGAATGAGTCCCTAGGGGTTGCTTTGGGAACACTTTGGGGCACTTGAGAGAGGGCAGATTTCTCAGGGTCATCTCTTAAAGCCTCCTGGAGAACAGGGCCCTTGTTGTCCCAGAGCCAGGGGCTTTAGAAGCCTGCTCACGTGCCTGTCATGCCCAACCTCCAGCAGTGAGGCCCCCTGAGTGGAGAAACTAGCAGTCAGCCATAGGACCTGCTGCTCCAGACAGAACCTGCCCACGGGCTTGTTGGGGTCTCTCTAAAGTGTTTCTGGGGACCAGCAGTTAGCGTAATGGCTATGTCGCTAGACTCCCATGTAGTTGACAGCGATTCGAGTCCCGACCTGGTGGCTCAAACTCACGCCAGGCATGTGTGCATGCGTGCCCGCCCAAGATCCCGAAAGGAGAATGGAGGAGAAGGGATTACGGCATGGCCATCCCTCCTGGGGGGCGATTTCTCACTTTCTGTCTCTCTGTCTCTCTCTGTCTTTCTGGCAAGTGCACATGCCCTATAGCAAAGAAAACTCTCAAAAAAAAAAAAAGTGTTTCTGAACACTGCAGCACTCACATCACAGAATCTGGTCCATCTATACTTGCAAAACACTACAGAAGACTAAGAGTAATGCAAAAAAATCTTTTAAAAAATAGACCCATTAAGCTGAATAAATAGAAGGAAGTTTGAAATCTCAATGACAGGTCTGGAACAAGATTGAATTTTTTGTTTGTTTGTTTAGTTTTAAGGTTTAGTTTTAGCAATCCATTCTCCTTCCTTCTCCTCCCAGGATCTTGGGTGTGCACATGCACACACCGAGATTTTCAGGCCACTGTGTCTGGGACTCACAGCATGGTCAGCCACGAGGGAGTCCAGCAATGTAACCATTACACCATCTGCTGGCCCCAAGTTTACTGGATCTTAGACGAGACTTCAAAAAGTTTGTGGAAAAATGAAATTGGAGTTTATTTTAATTTAAAAATTTTTTGAAATATATGTACGGTTTTAAAATAATACAGATTTTCCATGAACTTTTTGTAGACTCTCCTATTCCTTCCCAGTGCTGCTGGGGACCCAAAAGACAAATATAACTGGTATAACACAGGTATAATAGGTGTTCACTCACCCACCTGAATTACAACCAGAAAAACTGATGAGTCAGTGAAATGTGCAGTCTGTCAATGTCAAGGATTTACAGGCTAACCATAAAACCATTAACAAGGAAAGCATGATTTCAAAACTCTTATCTAGGAACAATCTATATATACCTGTCTCTCTATCAGTAATATCCAGGAATTGTTGAGATCGGTCAATTCTGCCTCAGAACTTTGTCCATCATTTTCACGCATCCACTAGTTATTTTTTTTGTAAGTAAAAATCTTATTTATTTAGTATCTTTGGGTTTTTTTTGTTTGTTTGTTTTGTTTTTGTTTTTGTTTTTTTAAATCAAGAATCAACGAGCTTAGATGGATACAGATGTCCCCAGTGGACTTTAAAGTACTTGGCCAACTTACTTGCCCCAAGTGACTCTAAGTGTTCCACTCTTCTGGTTGCCCCTGAATACTGGAGGCAGGAACTTCCTAGCAGTTAAACAAGACAATAAACAGGACATATCCAAAATGTGTTATTGGGATGGTTTCCCACTCATCTTGAGTCAGGATGCTGCTTTTAGTGCTGCTTCCTCCTGAAGGAACGTCCTTCTATAAGCCTCGCTTTCCTCCTGTAGGCTGGCAGAGGACAGAGGAGCAGCCAACGCACAGAACTACCGTTTGTGCGTGGCTGGAGACTGTGGCGATTGTATAGCCTCCTGGGCACTTCACATCCAGGAAGTAGGAATCTGGGCTCTGCACCAGGTGCTTCTTCTTGTGTGTCCTCTTCTCTTCGGGAGAGGGATGAAGGAGGTCCTTTGCGAGAGGCATGTTCTCGTGGGGAGGTCTTCACCGCCGGAAAAAGGCGCATCCACTAGTTTTTCACGGAGATTCTCCTTGGAGAAATCAGCACTCCGTTTCACAACTCCATCATTTTTTTCCCCAAAAAACATGCCTTCCCATCTTGCTTCCTAATCCCACGCCTCCTCACTGTTCATATCCTCGGCCCCTGTTTTCATAGTGTGTGCATATGATAAAAGTTATGTTAGCTGGTGAGGTCAGGGAAAAAGTATATTGTGAAATCAAATAGTTTTGTGTGTGTTTTTATCATTTTATTTGAAAATCAGCAGTTAGTTCTCATCTACATTGACTCATTGACTGTAGCTTTTTGTTTTGAGAAGTATTTTGCTATAGGGCGTGTATGCTCACCAGAAAGACAGAGAGAGACAGAGAGACAGAAGGTGAGCAATCACTCCCCAGGAGGATGGTGACGCTGCAATCCCTTCCCTTCTCCTCCATTCTCCTTTTGGGATCTTGGGCATGCACGCCCAGCATGAGTTTAAGTCGCCAGGTCTGGGACTCAACCCGTGGTCAACCAGGAGTCCAGCAATGTAGCCATTACGCCATCTGCTAGTTCCAACACTGACTGTGGATGTTTTTACTTTTTTTTTTTTTTTCTTTGGAGCGGTTTTTGCTACAGGGCGTGGGCGCTCTCCATACAGACAGAGAGACAGAGAGACAGAAAGTGAGAAATCATCCCCCAGGGGGGATGGCCACACCACAATCCCTTCTCCTCTTGGGATCTTGGGCACGCACGCACAAGCGCCCGGTGTGAATTTTAAGCCACCGGGTCTGGGATGCGAACTGCGGTTGACTACATGGGACTTCAGCGATGTAGCCATTACACTAACTGCTGGTCCCTTGACTGGATTTTTGAAAGTGGTAACTGGTACATAGGTCACCATTGTGTAAGCTTGCTGGGTGACTCTTCATCCTCATTACATTTTCTGCACAACTGCACATGATTCTGGTATGGGACATTCCTTATTCCTTTGACCCTGACAGCTTTGTTGAGTCTGGCATCAATGCACGTATCTGGAGTTCCCATGTCCTCCGTGGCAAATTTCCGTATTTCTTTGAGTGTCCAAGGGGCATGAAACCCGTGCCCTGGATGCTCTTATGAATGCTGATGGTATATTCTCAGGGCACCACCTCACTCATGGCAGAATAGCCCTTCTTATTCTCACCACTCTTCTTTGCAGGAGCCATTCTTCCTGGCCCAAGCTGGAGAGAAATGCACGTACACACGCACAAGCACCCGGCGTGAGTTTTAAGCCGCCGGGTCTGGGACTCGTATCGTGGTTGGCCATGTGGGAGCGCATGCCTTAGCCACTACACAACCTGCTGGCCTCTGTTTTAACTTTTTTTTTTTCCTTTTAGAGAGAGAGAGAGATTTTTGCTCTAGGGTGTGTGCACTTACCAGAGAGCAACAGAGAGAGAGAGAGAGAGAGAGGAAGTGAGAAATCACCCCCAGGGGCGATAGCCACACTGCAATCCCTTCTCCTCCCTTTCCTCTTATGATTTTGGGCATGAACACACATGCTTCTGGTGTGAGTTTTAAGCTGCTGGGTCCAGGACTCGAACGGTGGTCAATTACGTGGGAGTCCAGCGACGTAACCATTACCCCATCTGCTGGTCCCTATTTTAACCCCTTTAAAGTATATCGTTTCACAACACTAAATACATTCGCATCTTTGTGAAACCATCACCGCATCTCTCTCCAGAATTTTTTCATCTGCCCTGAAATAAAACTTCCAGTTTCAGTTTCAGCTGAGACTCTGCACCCACACTAAACAATACTTTCTTACTCTCTCCTTCCCCTGAGATCCTGGCAGTCACTGCTCTGTTTGTCTCTGCGAATTCTTTTTCTTTATACATGATGGAGTACATGCACACACACGTGTGTGTGAGAGAGGGATGAGCACCCACCAGAGAGTCTGGTTATGCTACAGTTCCCCTTTTCTGATGCTCCAGACTGTCAGATCATGGGTACTCACACATGTGCTTGGCGTGTTTTAGGTGGATCAGGTTAATCAG